TGGAAAGTGGTCCTCGACTGAAACCATTCCTCCTGCCAGGCTTCCTTGATAATATTCGCGATCCAACGCTTGACGTCTAGGAGTGGTACGTTCCTGGTGAAGCGGGGACCAGATGGACTGGATCCCGCCAGCCTGTCCGCAGCCTCATTTCCAGGAACACCGCAGTGCCCGGGAATCCACGTAAAAACGGTTGAGGGTGGAGCATATCGTGTAATGCCTTGTATCCAGAGGTGGCTCGGGGCTTCGGCTTCCAGCGCCTGGATCATGCTGTGTGAGTCCGTTAGCACAAGGATCGGTTGATCTGCAGGAGTGATGGCTGCATCAAGAATAGCAGTGGCTTCTGCGGAAAAAACGGAACACTCCTCCGGTAGACTTTGACTTGTTGCGGAGTTTGGTCCTGCCACTCTGAGTCCCACTCCAGCCCGTGATCGCGATCCGTCCGTAAAGCGATGAACGTGCCCCGGATAGACCGACCCAAGAAGTTCTGCAACTGAGCGCCTCAACGCTACAGAGTTATCTCCGGCTTGGAATCCTCTTTTAATCCGCTTATCTATTTTGATAACGTTAGATCGCCAACTTTTCTCTCCATGCCAGTGGACCCTGGCCACCGGGGGGAGGTCAAGGTTGGCTGCAGTGCGGAGGGCTCTGTTCCCCTCGTTGAGGAGAAAGACCCTATCATTCCCGGATGTCTTAGCAGCAAGGGCAGTGGCTTTCGTAGCAGTAACTGCAGCAGATCGATTACGGAAAGGGAGGACTCCGATTTCCGCACAAGCAGCGTCTGCAGGCGTTGAAGGTAGAAGACCGGATACGATGCGTACGTAAGTATTGTATACCGGAGCGAGGATGCGGTTCAGCTTCTCGGTGGCTAAGCAGGTAATTTCAATGCCGTAGAAAAGTCGACTGTCGATAACAGCCCGGGCGACACGAAGGCGGATCTCGCGGTTACTGGAGCGGTGCGGGCGGGAGATTGTCCTGACGATGTTGATGCGGCTACGACAGTTTTCTTTCACCGATCTGAAGTGCTGGTCGAAACTTAGAGTCCGATCCAGAACTACGCCCAGAACACGTACTGTTTTCTTAAGCGGAATTGGATGGTCCTGGATGGTGATCGGTGGTCCCCGAATCAGATGGCCCGAGTGGCAGATATAGCACCGTACACTCTTTGGATCGGAGAGCTGGAAACCTACAGAAAGCGCCCACCTGCTGACGGCGGAGACAGCTGCTTGGGCAATATTCCTGGTCCGTTTAGTCGTTCGTCCCGTTACGACGATGAGTATGTCATCGGCATAGACGATTACGTGCACATTTTTGGGCAGTCGGCTGAACACCGCGTTCATTGCCACCAGGAATAGCGTAACCGCTATGACTGGAAGGTACGATAAAGGAGGAAATTCCGTACAAAGTGCGTGATGTGGCCCCAGCCGATGAGCTGCCGGATGACGCCAGGCGTCCACGTCCTGTTGAACGCCTTTGAAATATCAAGGGATACTAACTCCGCATGGTGACCGTTGTCCTGGGCTTCCTTGAGTACATTCCCGAGGGCTGCAAAGTAAGTGGAGGAGCCATGTCCTTACCGGAATGCATGCTGCCGTTCGTCAAGGAGACTGTTAGACTCCAGAAACTGCCTAAGTCGACGATTTACCATTCTCTCCATCACTTTTGCCGCGCAGCAAGTGAGCGCAATCGGCCTAAAGGAGGAGGCTTCTCCATTCGCCGCGTTGTTCTTCGGAATGGGCACTACCAGGCTTTGTTTCCAGAGGTCCGGATACGCGTCAGTGAGCCATAGGTCGTTGAAGAGGGCGAGTAGCCTCGTTTTTTTCCGTCGAGGGAGAGGTTTTTTACACCGGGCATCCAATGTTAAAAAAAAACCTCTCCCTCGACGGCAAAACGAGGCTACTCGCCCTCTTCAACGACCTATGGCTCACTGACTCGTATCCGGACCTCTGGAAGCAATGCAACAAATGTTAACGTAAATAGATGATCTGATATTCATGATTTGTTAATATTTTTGAAAATTACTTGTTGCCAATTATAATTTGTCGAAATATCTTAGATAACTTTTAAACTTCTGTGCAGTGCATAAACTTTTCATAATCTATAAATTTTTGTTAGCGCATGTCAATTCTTTTAAGTAGGGTGGGTGAGCCAGTAGTGGAGGTACTAAGCCAATTTATCAATTAAAAAATAAATATACGATGTACACACAATTGTTATACGTCAATCTATAGCTTTCAACCTCTATTTTGATAGAAAAATATTACAAGATCGTCCTCCATTAATAGGAACACTGTTCCAGTAGTTGTGATAGTTGCTAACTCTGGTTCCTATAATAGTGGAATGCGTTGGTTTCTTATGGGTTCCACTATTATAGGAACACTACCACAACTATAGGTGTAAAGGAGTGAAAATCTTAAGGAAAATTAATTATTTTCCGTCCCTTTTGGGCATATTTTAATTTTGAAATATGCAAATATGCTTTATTTTAGGAGAGCTATCTTATCCGGATCCTCCTCACTATTCCGGCACAACCTCCATACCGCAACTATAGGTACACCACTATAACAGGCTAGCTCTAAATCACGTTTTTCAGTGTTGCCACCATACAAAAGTTTTTTGTAACAACCATGGCTATCATTTGGAGGGTGAGCCCCCAGGTTTCCAGACAAAGTGTTATTTTGGTCCACCCTATTGGGCATGCAGCGTGCTTCAAAAGATGGAAGAGGTAATATTTTTTAATGGAAATATTGACAAAACTTCTGTCGTGTGGGGTGCATTTATGACTAACCCAATGGAAGCATCGGACCATGCCCGGATGTTACCAAATGTGGCCTTACAGATGAAACATTATCACCAATGGATTAGTCATTGAACGCTGATGCTGTTTGATGCGACGCATGGCCATTTTTACTATTATTCAAGTTCTTGCCTTTTCCCCGGGGATTGCCGGAACAAGTCCGAATTTGACAGAGACTTATTGTTTACAATAATGGATTGGTCTTTGTATTCTAATGCAATGTGAGTTGTGTCGCATCGATTTAGGTACTATTCAAGTTTTGGTCGTTTACCCAGGGGCACCCGGAACAAGTTCAAAGCATTTCTGAATGTGACCAAATGTCTAAATTAAAATTTTTCCCAACAGCTGCAGCAGCTATTAGCATAAAAATCCCATGTAGTTCGAAATTTCACAAGAAATTGTATTTTTTATGCGAATAGTGGCAGTGTACCGGTTAATGTGACCGTCGTTCAACTTCCCAAAAAATTAGAAAAATAATGTTAGCATTTTATGAATTAAATTGATACATGGCTATACTGCCGTTATACGCATAAGAGTCCCACGGTGCATAAAGATTGCATAGAACGTGCGTATGCGTATGCGTAAAGGGTGATACGGTCAAAATTTGGTCAAGGGAAAACGCGTGTAAATCGGTGAAATCGTTTATTTAAAAAATCAAATTAAATTTCTTTTTCAAGTTCAATTAGTATAAAATTCAGGAAAAATATTCAGTTAGGCTTCCGCTTTTCCAAATCCGAATTGCCGGGCCTTACGCTTGACCCCTGCCATCAGATTTTGTACAGCCACCTTGTCCACCTTCTTCGCCGCAGAAAGCCAGTTTGCCTTGAACTGCTGCTCACCCTTAGCAGTTTTTTGGTCTTCTTTAGGTTCCGCTTGACAATAGCCCAGTATTTCTCAATTGGGCGGAGCTCTGGCGTGTTGGGAGGGTTCTTGTCCTTGGGAACCACCTGCACGTTGTTGGCGGCGTACCACTCCATGGCCTTTTTACCGTAATGGCAAGATGCCAAATCCGGCCAAAACAGTACGGAACAACCGTGTTTCTTCAGGAAAGGCAGCAGACGTTTATTCAAACACTCTTTCACGTAAATTTCTTGGTTGATAGTCCCGGAAGCTATGAAAATGCTGCTTTTCAAGCCACAGGTACAGATGGCTTGCCAAACCAGATATTTCTTTGCGAACTTTGACAGTTTCATGTGCTTGAAAACATTTGCTACCTTTCCCCTTCCTTTTGCCGTATAAAACTCCTGTCCCGGAAGCTGCTTGTAGTCGGCTTTGACGTAGGTTTCGTCGTCCATTACCACGCAGTCAAACTTCGTCAGCATCGTCGTGTACAGCCTCCGGGATCGCGCTTTGGCCGTCGTATTTTGTTTATCATCGCGATTTGGAGTCACTACCTTCTTGTAAGTCGATAGTCCGGCTCGTTTTTTGGCTCGATGCACGGTTGTAGACGATAAACCCAGCTTATTTGCGGCATCTCGGAGAGAGAGGTTAGGGTTTTGCTTGAAACTACCGGCAACTCTCTTTGTCGTCTCAGCGGCTTCCGGTTTTCGATTTCCCCCCGATCCAGACTTCCTGGCTGTCGACAAACGTTCCCCAAACACTTTAATTACATTTGTAACGGTTGATTTGGCAACTTTTAGCGATTTTGCCAACTTTGCGTGCGAGTAGCTCGGATTTTCGCGATGCGCGAGCAAAATTTTGATACGCTGCTCTTCTTGCTTGGACGGCATTTTGACAACTGAAGAGTGAATTCCAAAATCAAAATAGGAGCAACATTCTACACACACACACCTTCAAAATGAGGGGTGTTCAGGTTTTTTAAATGCAAAATTGAAAGAAATACGTCAAGTTGATATTGACCAAATTTTGACCGTATCACCCTTTATAACGGCAGTATACTTAAGAACTAGAAAACCATCTTGTAAAGGACTTGCACGGAAATATTAATTCTGAAAATATGGCTTGATTGTCAGCCTGTTGTTAGAATTACCCTCACGTTTCTCGTAAGAAACATACACGCAAATTCCCCTTTATTGAATACTCTGAGCCACAAAAGTTATTCCATAAGATATTTTCAGAATACAGTTCTTTCTGGATAGATGCAGCAGTGAGTATTTCGCTAAAATCCTGGTCTTAAGGGTTCATCAACAAAGACAAATATTCTCTACCCGGCGCCCATACCCCCTCCACCCTCCATTCTACTCACCTATAACGGTAACGTTTGCCATAGTCTTATGAATGGTGGTAGAGACACCTCCCCCGCCGCTGCCACCGCCGCCGCCGCCGCCGCCCATCGTCGTCGTCATTGCAGCCGCCCCAGCCCCATTGCCATTGCTGCCGGCCTGCGGATGCTGTTGCATCCCAGGCCGGTGGCACGTATCGCCTACGTACACTTGCACCTGGTTTCCCTCGATTGGCACGTAGCTGATGCAGACGCCATGCTGCGAACTGAGATGCTTCGCAATGATGAACGTCGTCTGGTTCTCCTGCCAGTGGCCATGGCAGGTGTACGCTAGCGTGGGTAAAAAAGAGACAACATCAATCAACACCAACGACAGATAAACCATATGTGCATCACTGAACTTACTTTCCTCTTCGTCGTTTTTACATTTTGGCTTAACTTCTATTACAGTGTTTTCATTACATCCTATGAATAAACGTCTGTTGGTATTGTGATTAATATTACATCCCATCGTTTCTCTACGAGCTCGGGTAGATTCTGTGAAATAATGTCGCAACGTTAACAATTAGATTAGTCCCACTAACCAACGGCACCCGCACGCGAACTCACCTAAACTGTAAAAGTCTTGTGTGACATTATCACTAGGCTGCGTCGCAGCTGTCCGCCTCATACGTGAGAAGGCTTTTCGCTTCTCCTGGTTGTAGTAGTAGCCGTCCGCACTTTCCTGGTTCCGGAAGCTGACCACCTCCCGATGCCGGTGCATTCGGCTTTTGTTGTTGTGATTTCGTTTGTGCCTTGAAATCGTCGATGAAGGAATGAGGAAACCTTTAATTGAGTAGTATCCTTCCATTGGACAGATCTGTGTCTCTGGGTTATTAGCTGTTCGACGGCATCAAGAAAATGGATATACATTTGATTAGTTTAAATTGAAATTTTATAACCACTGTGAGTGCAGCTCAATTACCTAATAAAGTAACAAACGGAGTCCGATGCACGTCGAAATTGTCAGTCGTACACGCATCCTCTAATCTAGCTGCGGGTGTTCCCATTTGTAGCTCAGCTACGTGAGTATCTCGTCGATAGAACATCACACACATGTATCCAGAAGTGCTGCTCCGGGAAAAGAAAAGGAAGAAGAAGAGGAACAATCAATCGTCAATTAAGTCTAATTGAGCTGAGATTCTTGTTTCATGCCGTCCACACTCACCATCCAGTCGTGTGATGAACGACGGCCATCATCTCCGTGGTCGTCTGCTTGTTGATCTGTTCGCACAGTGCCCGTGCTTCCATGTAGCCACTTGGCTTTACAATATGCAACGATCCATCACTGGTAAAGTAACAATCAATTAACCAATTGCTTCACTGTAAACGAAGCGATACTGTGTGACGCAATCCACTTACCTAGGATGGAATATGAAGTTGGCATTTCCCATCAGCGCATGCCAATGGCGGGGGCCTTTGAACCACGCGGGAAAATCGCACCGTTCCGTCATCGGAGCTCGCTTCAGGGTCATGATACGCGAACCGACCTCGGCACTCTCCAGCCCGTTGCAGGTGGCATCACCCGACTGGGCCAGCTTGTACTCAGCATCGGCATTCGCTGCTCCTGATTTAGTTAATCAAAAATTCAAACATCTCCACAAACCCGCAATATACGACTATGGCTGACAATTACCTGATCCGCTGATCTTCTCGTACACGAAACACCTATAGCGATCCTCGTTCGAGATGGCGTGATGGTGCGAAACTAGTCCTACGAGATATCGAGAGTTGCCATCCTTCCATCCCGCTAGGCAGGTCAGTTCTTCCACTGGAAGCGCACAAATAAGAACCATTAGAGCGTTGCTGTAAATTCCGGCGATTTTTTTTTTTTTAATTCTTTATTTAAGAGATTTTTAGCCTTAGGCTAGTTCATCTCTAGAAAATTCCGGCGAGATAAGTCCTATTAGTTACCTGTGCTCTCCGTACCCGGAACGTCAGGACACGCCTGGAAGTTCAGCAGCAGCCTGCTGTCTTCCGTGCACATGTCCATCTTCGAAATCGGGTTCTTGCACTCCCCATGGCCTCGGTTGTAGGTGAAGGTGAAGGAACCTGAAAGATGGCGACAGACATAAAGATGTTAAGTAATCAATAGGATCAGGAAGTGACTTTGTAAATATATTTCTGATTAATTTTAGTACTGTATGTTGGTAATATGGATGGTTGTTTTTTTTTATATATTTTGAGCAGTAGTGGAATGGGTTCTTGTTCTAATGTTCTTGATGTTTCTGGAGTTCTGAAAAAATCGAATTCTGAGAGTTCTTGGAGGCATAAAGGGCAGTAATGTTGCCAGCAGTTCGGCCTTCCTTAACTCACTCGGTAAAGGTGCAGCTACCCAGCAAAAGATTCACGGCCCGGTCTAGGATTTTTTCGAGTTTGGAAAATTTCTTGACTTCCCTGGGCATAGAGTATTTTGTATTGTACTCGCCACACAAGTATTCTAATGCAAAAATGGTACAGGCATCGAGAGGGCTCAATTAATTACTGTGGAAGTGTAATCTAGAACTCTAAGTTGAGAACACATAATAAGCTTAAATGCGATAAGCAGTAAGCTTGAAATGCAAAGAAGAAGAATAATATGTTGCCATCAGTTCTTAGGGTTGCTGAAGTTCCAGTAGGGTTCCTGGAGTTCTGAGAGTTTTTTCAGTGTTTTAGTAGTAGAATAGGTAGCAGAATTTCTTGAATTTTCTTTTCAAAGGGTTGCTGGAGATGTAAAAGTTTTGAGAGTAGCTGATTTATTTTTTAAGTTTTCAGAAGTTCGAATGGTATTCGGAGTTTGAGAAGTTCCTAGAATTATGAAAGTGGTTGCAGATCCCGGGAGTTCAGTTCTCAGAGTCGTAGAATTTTGGTATGTTTTTAGGGTATCCGAGTTTATTGAAGTTTTCAGAAATCCTAAAGGTTCCTGGACTTCCAGAAATTCCCGAAGTGTGGATGGCAAGTCTACCAGGATAACCAGGATAACCAGGATAAAATTAATATTTTTAAGTTACATCTCGACCATATTTCAGTCGTTGTTATTCCATCAAATTTATTGCAATGTAAGATGCAAAACTTTTTGTTCGTGCAGGCGACAACTACTATCTCTACCCTTAGCATATACTATTTACTGTACCAACCGATATATGTCACCACTTAGTTATGTTGTATATTGTAACTATTCGTTATTGTTTCTCTGTCATGTGCATGGTAGGACGGCTGTCTCCAGCATGGTAGGACGGCCAATAAATCGGCCGCAACGTAGAAAATCGGATCCTATCGTGCGCGATCACCAATCACGCGATCCAAGGAAATATAGATAGAAAATACAAAAACAAACAAACCGCTCCCGATGGCTTGGAAGCAGTTACTCAGAAAGTGTTCACAACATTTCGCACAGCTGTAACCTCGATCCTTCCCGAAAAGATCCCCATCTTCCGGATGGTTCTGGAAGTGCACCATCAAACGATGCAAGAATGTACGGTTGAATGATTTTTTTTCCAAGTGATGACCCTTTCATCGAATAAAATCACAGCTATGGATCGGAAACCAACTAGTGTCCGCTAACTGACAGTTTCAGTGGTTTGCAGTCGGTTCTGACGCAAGTTATTCCGATCTTCATCTATTCGCAAGGTCTGGAGAAGGCTGGTCTGTTTTCAGACTGTTTTGACAATCTTTTATGAATTTGAGAACCACGCTCACTTCACTCTTCTCCATCAGATGCTCAGTCGTTGATGGTACCCGTTCCACCGGACGTGCTGCATCTTCTAAAGAACTAAATTTTACTGAAGTCGACTTCCCTTCGGTCGTTAGCATCGCTTGAATTTTTCCTCCAACTTCGTTTATCCTTCGAGATATATACTTGTCATAAATTTGGTTTTTATTCACTATGAGGATCCATCCTTGAAGTTCAATTTGTAAACAGAGGAGATTTTATGATACACTTTTAAAAGCCTAAAAGGCAACAAGATATGCATTTTACTCTCATTTAAAACCGAATGGTTTTATGATTGCTTTTATAATGATAGAACAGGTTTATAGAGTATTTTATCAATACATTAATAAAAAAATTGCTAATGAAGTTTATGATTGATTTTTAGAACAGTTTTATGGTGTGATTGAGAACTACTTTAAATTTAATTTTAAAACAAGACAGTTTTTGACTTTTTAAAACAGCAAAAAGGTGAACTACTAAGCAGGAACGTTTTACAATGTGCAATGCTGTATATAAACTTAATGGATTATTCATTGCCATTATAAAACCATCGTAAATCAGAGTGGATGCCAAATGATTGCATAATTGTTACTAGGGTAGGTTGTCTACCTCGAGCCGGAAGGGAATCTTATAGTTCATATCTGACTCCACGATGCTCAGCACAAGACTAAATAATGTGAACTGCGTCCTGGTAACCTTGTCCACATTCACAGAGATTGCTGTCCCCCAGCCCAACACGGAACAAGTGAGCGTTTAACGAATATTTAGTGATTGGACATGAGGCGAGACATCACACGAATGAAGTCTCGACCTACCTCCAACCCTTTGAACTAAGGATACTTCGAAACCTTAGGGATGATCGAATACAGTCATCGTCCCAAACTCCCTTCACTCCATTTATTTTGCCAGCTGGCGAGCGACTGTTGACGATAAATGAAGAAAAATTCGTTGAAGGCGATTTGTCGATCGTAAATATCGCCTGCCCACCTTTGCAAGTGAGTGCCCGGAATCGAGCAATGAGATGGGACCCATGCAAAGGTGATGACAAAAGATCTTAAAGATAATGCACCTAGAAGACCTCGTATTTTCATGAGCAAATACGAGGAGTGCTTTACCGGCCTCATGGAGCGAAAAGCCTCGACAGAACTGAGACTATTCGTAAAAAATAAAATAATGATCTGGTGCAAGTGAGGCGATAGTTTCTAGCGTATTATGTATTGCCGCTAGCTCAGCAACATATACGGAACAAGGAGCTTGAAACATTCGAGAGGCGCTATGAATGACCGATCTGTGAAGAACGATCTTGCGGAATCAACTTGGCCAAACTTTTCAGCGAAAATTGACGGAGCAATCATGGAACGATGATGCTCTGGGATTCCGCGAATATCTTGCGTCATGGGTAAATCAAAATGAACAGAATTGCCGAACACGATAGAGATTATGCTGCGAAGGACTGAAATCCTGTGTTATGTACACGTAGTACAATGACATAAAACGAGTTTGAGGGTTTAGCTCAGGAAGCTTATCAAAGTTTGCAATCACCAAAGGGTTCATAATTTCACCACGGGTGAGGAGCCTGAGGGACGAAACCCGATCAGAGAGTGGTAACATGTCGAGTGCATGCATCCTAACGCGATACTGGATCCGTTCCAGTTTGATGATGTGCGTTTCAGCCGCCGACTGGAAGCGACGTTAGAAGATCTTACGGATGGGATCCCCACCACGTTCCGGTAATTGTACGGAGAAAATTGATTCTTTGTTGACATTTCAACTTCAGATACTCAATGTAAGATCTCCAGGTGTATTTAGAATCGAACCATACCCCAAGATACTTGAAGGGCATAGACTGAGTGATCGGTTCACTCAAAATTTTAAGCTTCGGTTGTGCTGGGCTATGCTTTCTAGAAAAAAAAAACGATCAACTCAGTTTTCTCCGTGGAGAATTCGATACCTAGCTGAATAGCTCAAGTAGACAAATTGTCTAAGGTATCCTGCAACGACCCCTTTGGGCCCTGTGACAGACACTATGCCGTATGTTGTCTCAACGTGCAGTTGTCACCAAGACAATTATCAATTTCTCTGACGTAGAAACTAAACAAAAGGGCTTAAACATGAGCCCTGGGGAGACCCAAGTAGCAAAATCGTGAAGCTGTAGAGTTGTAGCTCATATGTTTCTCTGACAGCAAATTGAGCATGAGCATGAGCATGAGCATTGACGACCATACATTTCAGTAGTTACTACTCCGTGATTGACCAGATTTAGCGAAATTTGCACAAAGAACCATATGAATGGGGCTTGGGACTAGCAATCCATTCTCAGTGTACAAAATATCATGACACTCACGTGACACTCGTCTTCGCACCAACCGACTATCGCTGATAGATCGTTTTGTCACGCAGTGAGAGTTAGAGCCATGGCAAACAACAATAACAATGGTCGCTGCTCACAAGCAAAACACTACACTCGCTGCTGATGATGAAAAGCACAACGAAAACAGTGAAGACTTCTGCAGTACGATCATGAGGAAAAGCGAAACGACAGAAGAAAATGAAAATAATGCCTACGCATTCCAAGTTCGTCTCGGCAGGCGCGACTGTGTGAGTTACAAACAAAGCAGGCAACATGAAACGGAAGCTGTTGGGCTCACTCACCAAGCCACTCAAATAAGCAAGCAAAGCAGCAACTGCTTGAAAACGAGCACAGATGAGTGTCGTGATTGTCGGGAATGACCAGATCGGTGATGGATCACAACAGAAGACGACATTCACCAGTTGCTTTTTACTTCTTTCGTCAACTTGATGCATGGTCATGGAGAGAGCTTCGACGAGCACATTGATAGGAATGTGCAAAGCGTTACTACCATCAGCTGTTTGGCGATCGTGATTGTGATAGGTCGCAACTCTGGCCCACGTCCTTACGGTCATCGGGGAGCTACTAGAGACCGAGTATACCTCTGCATCTTCACGGTTGTTACGGGAAGGACGTTTTTGTAAGTGAGAAGGGTAAATTAGATCTGGATTAACATTGAAAAGTGATGCGATCTTTTAAAACCTGTTAAGCAAATGACGTGACCCTATCAACTTAGTAATGTTTATTTGTATTTATTTATTTGTATATTGAAAAATTCAACTGACAATTATTGTCTAAATGAATAAAACTTAAGCTAAATAGTTACGGTCAACGGTACGTAAAAGGCCAAGTAACCGATGACGAAACACGTCAGCTGATACATTGAAGTCGAACATATGAAAGAAGCTCGAATTGGCTCGTGTTGTGAACAGAAAGTTGCGTTGACGAAGAGGTCTCTCAGGGGCATACATATTTAGCTGAGCCAGCAGTGTTGGACAGACAATGTCACCC